ACTACGGTTTTACCTCGAATGCATATTGTCACAATGCAATATAAAATCTAGTCGTCCTTGTTCTTATTTTTATATAACTCGATCACACGATACACTATAGTAATAATCATAATAATAATATTATACTCTTGTATTTTTACAAGGCATTAAGGCACATCGCGTGGTGATCCGTGCATGACGTATAATATCTATTGTTTTCTCTGTGAGTTAACCTTTGCTCCGACGGAGGACAAATGGATGATCATATTATACTCTTATATGGCTACATATACGGTTGAATAATCCCTTCAATATGGTATTATATTCAAAAGATATTTTATTGTGATTGAAATGATTAACATGGTCGTATATAAACTTATACATGAATATTATGCGTTCGGGTTTTAATGAAATTTTTTTTTTCCTGATGAAAAAAAAAAATTGATTATTTTTAATAATCAATACATAAAGAGACGTTTCACTTTAACGAATACTTTCCCTATAAACGTATAGGAGGCACGACTTTAAATACTGCAACAACAGCTATATATACTGACATTGACAACTTGATGTATTTTATATTTTTATACTTGGTATTATGATTCAACTCTTAGACTTTTATAATTGACAGTTAAAATAATCCAAGACGAGTATAAAAATATTTATGAGCCGTTAGTGTATATAAGAAAAAAGTAGTCTTATATAAGGGTTTTTTAAAGTTCAACTAAACATTAAGTATTATATTAAAACATTCTCGTTACAATTCATTGACAAACAGGTTGTTATAAAATAGGTTTATTATTTCCACTGTGGATATTAACAATAAATTATACAGTTAAGCAGTTATTAATATAAACAAAACACAATTAAAGCAGAACATATGAGATTCAAGAGGAAGTTGGATTTTTTAAAAAAAAGAAATTTATAGAAAAAGAGTATAAGCGTATATTACCCAAGAATATAAGGTGAGTTAAGCAACAAACAAATTTTAAAGGAAACAGTCTCATAAGGGGGCTTGGCTTCTAGGGCTGTGTCCAAATTGCATTCCAAAAAAAAATATTCGAATTGCATACCACCTCTTAGAGAGGTGTGTTCGGATTGCATGGCGTATACTCACAAGTTTATCTTTATTTATCATGCACTTATATGCATAACTTAAAATTTATTTTTTATTTTTCTGATTAAAAAAAAAAAAAAAATCAAGAATAGAAACGCTTTATGATAGGATTGTTACAACTGATTAATTTTTAGATTGAAATATTTTTATAACCGAGTAAACATTCAACTAAACTGTACCTATATTGCAGTGTATTGTGGTCTGTTTTACAGACATACGTATCAGTCACTTCTATAATTGAAACTAATCAGTTTTTATTCATGCGTTTTTTTTTTTTTTTTTTAAATAGAAAAATCAAGTTTAAGTTGTGCATATGTGTATGATTAATAATTAATAAAGATTAACTTGTGTGAACATAGCATGCAATTCGGATGCACCGGCTTCTCGCGCTCCTCATTTTACTATACTATCATCTCTGTTGCAATTTATGTCTCCATTAATAAAATAATATTAATCATAGATTAAAGCCTATTATAACATTTATGTGCAAATTAAATTATTTTTATTTATTAATAAGTAATAAATTGAATAGATATTTAATTACAATGTATACACTTGTATTCAGAATATTTATTTGAAAGTTTCATTATTGAAAACCATATACCTATTTCAAAGTGAATAATATTGATAAGTCATATAATATAGTCTACAGTCTATCTACTCTATCTTGACCCAATGACCCATAGTATCTTAGATTTATAGGTAATTAATAATTATTATTTAAGTTGATCATCGGATTTAAAATGCTAGCATTAAATAGCAGGGAGCAAAACACCCTAAGGACCCCTGTGATTTGCGCTAATGAGTGAGAAAACAGTAAAGGAATAATGAAAATGAAAGTTGAGAAAAATTAAATTTTGAAAGACTAAAAGAGAAGAAAATAATAGAACGTGAAAGAATGTTTCTAATTTCTACGGACTGACAATTAAAATTGAATATTTATTTGCTGTCGCTATATTATACATTTTAATTATTGAATAATCAAATATAAATATAATAAATAATAATTATTCATATTTTTTACTCTAAAAATGTAAACCAATTATGTATCTAAAAAGATTGTTATGCAAATTCATTGGTCATTTAGTTTAAAACAAAAGTATATAAAAAGAAAGAAGTTCTTGCTGCTTTTATAAAATAATTAATACTTTATTTTATCCATAATACAAATGTGTTTACGTAAATTTAAAATTTATATAATATGTAGTAATTTGAATACATTATTATATTTGAAATGTGCGTATATTTGTTATATAGCTACTGTGCTATTCACTGTCAACAACTACTTTCGTTTTAATATCGTAAAAATTATTGTTTTGTAGGGAAATGAACGCTTAGGTATCTTAGTGAAATTCACTAGATACACAACTATTAATTTTTAAACCCGGAACTAATGACAAAATTATATATTTTTCATCAAATATGTGTAAATGATATTATTAATCATTTATTTAACGAAGTACATTAAAATAGTAATTTACGAGTTCAAAAAATACTTAATAGCATAACTTCTTAAATATATTAGGTATTTGTAAAATGAATGATTACTAAATGTTATATTTTGAGTCATAATTTAACTATTAAAATGAAAAAAATATATGAAAACATATTAATTATATATTTTAAAAATAAAATAAATTAGAATTGTAACAAATGTGGTGCGTATTTTTATAGTTGTTCTAATAAAAAATAGTTATAAGTTCAGTAATGTAATAATAAAAATAAAAATAATATATTAATATTCACCAATTATTTTAGAACAGTCTACAATATTTCTAATTCATATAACATTGTATTTATTTATTTAACTTAGTGTAAAAAAGACCTATGTCAAAAAAAAAAAAAACATTGTTGGAAAATTTAATTTTAAAATAGACTAATTAAAAATATGTATATACTTATTATAAACATTGATTTTATGTCAAACTCTTAAAATCTCAATAACTACATTGTTTTTTATTTTCAATTTCATAAAATATTTGTATTTTATAAAATCTGAAAATGTATTAGTTTTATTTTTATATATACCTTCTTGATGGATAATTTAAACATTACTAATACCTGACATTGACCGAAAATTAAAACATAAAATTTGTCTTTTTAATAATTAAACAACTTAACTTTTTTTATTAAAATCTAATAATATAATATTTAATTGCACAAATATTATTAACTTATATAATTATATACTTTATTAATTGATTTCGAAATGGTCAATACGGTTGTAAATAATACCTGGCCAATATCAAAATAGGCTCGTATACCTACTAGCCGATATACTTCTATCCATTAATATCAGAGTAACCAATGTATGTAATAAGTAGATCATACAACATCAAATATATTGACTATTTAATATAAGTAGCATAATAAAATATTAATGACATTAACCAAATAATCTCTAATTTTTCTAAATGTAACATTGGCTCTTTTTGCACCAAGCCAAAGCGTTATATTCGTTAGGTATGTATACTTGTTATGGTTATTATTTATAATTACAGTAGGTAGATCCATTTAAAAAGACTTTATTCAAATAATTGAAAATATGGATTAAACGGAATGACATTTTTTTCAACTTATGCATTAATAAATATTAAAAAATAATAATAATAACATCTTATTCATAAAAATTCAAAATGTATTGATCTATTTTATATTACACGTTCTTAATATGTATTATACCAATACAATTGTGTAGAAAGTTAAAAAAATTACATATACCTTTGAACTCACTTGAAAAACTCAACATAAGTACTAAATACGAAATATGAATTGTCCGGATGTCCGGAGTAGCGATGATCAGATAAGTGAGACTCTACTATACTTATATTATCAGTTAATAGTTAATAAATTCTTTAACTATATACATACTAAAGGATGTAAAGAACATTACTGAAACGCACATTTACTAAATTAATATGAAGTAAAAAATCATATTAGAAATTACTTTTACAAAATAATATTACATCTACCACACTATATTTTACAAATATAATTGCATAGATCCATAATTCATTAAAATGTTGAATTTATCATACTTCTAAAATCTTCATATTTCTATGAAAACATATAAGTACTTGTTATTACAACATAAATAAAAAGCGTTTAAATTTATAATTAAAAAACAAAATCGTATTTTAAAAAATAAATCAGTTACCGTATATTGTTGTAAAGGTATATTTGAGTCATTCAATTATTGTAACAAAGTAATAATAAATAAACATTTTTTTTTTTTTAATAATTATTAATAAATTATTTTCCATGTTCTAACTTTAAAGCATTTAATTTTAGTATTTATATATTCTGATTCAGTACATAATTTTGAAAATATGATTTTAAATTTATATAACTAATGAAAAATATCAAATTGTTATTATAATTTATAATATGGATGCTCTAATATAATATTTTAAGAAACGAAGGATATAAATGACAAAACATTTTAAATAACTGTATCCAAAATAAAATAATAAAGTTAACAAACAACTTCAGTAATAGCGTAAAACGCATATTAACAAATAATTCGATCAAATTATTGAATACATATTTCTAGTTAGTTGACCGAAAATAAGAATATCCACAATAAAAAATATATGTATACGATCAATTTGTATAATCTCAAATGTAAATTATACATGAGATGTAACAGTACAACACCATCAACGCATATTTTAAAGAAATTAAATAATTCCGTAATAATAGTACTCCAGTGGTCATGATGTCAAGGTGCAGTGTCTGTGCTTCAATATAAAATGAAAAATACTTTAACGAAATATTTTTGCGTAATAACCATAATAATATAATATGTAGGTATATGCGTAAAAATAAAAATACATAAACAAATATTAAACTTATAAAATGGATAAAATAATATTATGTTGCTCATATATATATATATATAAAATATTTTTTATTATGGGTGATTTATCGGACATTAAGCTAATTTAGCAAATTCTAAACCTACAATATTATATTGTATTCTAAAGTTAATACTTAATAATACGGGTAATTACATAACTGTGTGTATACATTTCTATTGGCTGTTTTTTATTTTCGAATTTGCCATTTCCCATCCACTATAGCCGTAGCCTATACTGTAACGAAGCTTCGAGGAGGAGACCTCTGCGCAGCTCTTGGACAGTGGTTATTCCGATTGAATATAGCGACATGTACAACAGTGTTGTGTGCACGATGGACACGCTTAGTAGTATCGCGTTTTACAGTATACTGTTATTGAGTTATAACGCAGTGCACAGTATTGACACAGGTACGTGGAATTTTAATATTTATCATTATATTATAATTTTTAACGAATTATAAAACGTAAATCATAATTTAAGTATAATATATCATGTAACATGTACCTTTATATAAATATATATATAATTATAAACTATTTAAGCACATCTGTATCAACGAATTTTAATTAAACGATTTTAGAGTCCATTATCACAATCACATGTTAAATAATAATAGTTATAATTTGAATAAAATAAACGTTTAAAATTGTTTTTATACTTGAAATTATAACTTATTATAATACTATAATAATTAATGTCAAAATTATATTTTTTTTAAATAATATAATCGTAATAATTGTTACAGTAGTAGAGTTTTAGTACAAAGCATGATAGTGAAAATAATGGATTCTGTGTAAAAAAACAATAGAATGTATGTACACACAAAACAACATTGTTATAGGTGTATAAAATGAAAATCTAGGACACACCTAAGAAAACTAAAACAGATACACATTTTTAAAAACAAATGTGATTGAGGAATGATTTGTTGCAAAATAAAATTTGTATAGTAGTTGGGTTATATATATATATATATATATATGATGGGAGTCATGATAGTGACATAGTATCAAAGGATTTAAAACTCACACCGATACCAATTATTTATTATAAATAATTTAAAATAAAAATTTAACTGTATAATATATTTAAAAACCGGTTAATAGTTAAATGATTTGTAGAGCGTAAAAGTATAAGTAAAAGTAGTGACAGATAAAATACAATAGAAACAAAGTTTAATACGAGTTCAGGGGTACACTTACATCTCTCGCTGGAATCGGAATCGTAATACCGATGCAACAATTAAAACTAGAAAGTAAATGGGTATTAGGGTAATATGTAATAAAAAGTGATATATTTCTCACGCACTTATTTTGAGATATAACAATTATTATTCTTTATACATATTTAATATTTACGTTGCACGTGAAATTAATCGCATCGGAAAGTGTTTTTATTATATTATGTATAATTTAACATAAAATTAGTGTCTTCATAAATTTATAATTTATCATCTATAAAATTTTTAGATATATTGATCTTAAAATTACACTGACAATTGAAAATTTTACCCTGAAAATTTTACAGGCGCAGACTCATTTTAAATACTTATATTTAGAAAGTATAGTAACATAAATTTGTTAAAATAGAACAACGCCCATTACCTAATCAATTGTTGACTATGTTAATACTATATTTTAAAATTTAGTTTTAAATAAAATATTTTTTAAGTTAGCCAACAATATTTTAGGCAATAATAACTAAAACCCAAATAGAAGCTTATTTTGATTTTGCAGTACCTGCAGATAATAATTTTATTGATTTATTTAATGTATACTTAAGTGTACCATATAGAAAATCAGGATTGTTAAAACATTATGTCCATTTTGTACAGTAACCATACAGCAGAAAATTCTACTAGAACCGTTATTACGTGTAAAGCACAAATTATATATCGTTTAACTTATTATTTATCCAATATGTTGTAAATCTATACTGGAAAATAAGTGAAGTGTGTTTCTTTTAATATAATAATATATTACCAAACTATAACTCCGCCATTCTTAAAAAAAAAAAAATTAACAGATCTGACTCCATCTATTCTATACGATAGATGTATTTTGTTTTTAAATGACAATAAACAAAATTGCACTTTTTTGAAAAAAAAACTTGCTATATTACCGAAAATTATATGTGTGTACAATACATTAAAATGAAAAAATGTTACACTCTAAAATCGTAAAGAACCATTATTAAGAAAATATTTCAAAATCTAACAAATCACCTACACACATACTGATAATTCAGTGAAGATTAATTTCACTTTAACTTATAAAGCAAGTATTTAACAAAAACTATTTTATTAGCAAAATATATTTTAATTTGTTGGGAGTCTTAAAAGATTACAAACAATAATTATTCATTTTTATTATTTAATAGGTTTTTAAAGCCGTTAGACATACAACTAACTATAAATGGATAACAACTATTATATAAAAAAACCATTTGAATCAGAAACAACTAAATGTACGGAGGCCCTAAAAGTAAATTTTCTGTTTTCCATAAAACGTACGTTACATTCTAATAGAGAACATAATACATAAACGTTTTCTTCCCAATTGTTTTTGAACGTGATACTTATCAAATTTGATTATAGACTGATTATAATAAATAATATTGGGTAAATAAAAGCGTAGGTATGACTAAAAAAAAAAGAAATTTTATTATTAACGCACAATTAAGTTATTAGTTATTTAGAATAATGTAAAACAAATTAAAAATAAAAATTTATGAAAAAAATCATCATATTATACTTATCATTAATTAAAATAAAAAACTTATTTCTATTATGTATTTTAGAATGGATTTACAATAAAACACGACTAGAATTTATTACATGATATATTACATGTCTACATGCCATAGTATTTATAATAAAATTAAACATTCTCATAATAATTTTCAATTCTATCAATAATAAGTATATACAAACAACTTGTACGTGAACCTCCTAATAATAAGATGAATTATAAATTGCTCAATATGCTTTTGTTTGGAGAGTTACACAAGAAGAATAACACGGTGCGAAAATAAGAAAATTACACCGAAAAATAATATTATTACATATAAAGTGTGTTATATCTATTCACGAATGTAATTTACAGTTATGCAAGGTCCAATATAGGAAGACACCTATATATTATTATATATTACTAGTTATATTTCCAGTTCGACGTGTATTTTTTTTCATTACTTATGAAATGATGTATGAATATCATTTCATGATAAAAATTGAATTGTACACAAAAAAAAAAAATGACCAGAAATCATCTACTTTATTTACCATATACTCTAGTATACATTATACACAGTAGTCGTGATTAATTACAAATTCAAGACACATAAAGACAAATCAACTCTACTTTCTCTGGAAACCGTATTTTGTGATATAATAAAAAATATTTGACTTAACTTTACAGACATAACTATTGAAATCGTAAAACAAATATTTGCTCATAATTTATAATAGATATAATTTGAATCGAAATAATAAATAAATCAATGCCAGATAAATTATGTAACAATATAATAATAATATAATTTCTAGTGATAGTGATTGTTTAATTAAAATAACTCCATAAGATCTATACGGTTCGTTAAATTACATCTATTCGTAACTATAATACCATAAAGTACACAAACAATGTGATTTTCTTTTTACATACTGTTAAAACGTCTCACAAGGTTAATTTTAAGAGCATAATAATACACTTAAATATTACATGTGTCAGCTGTCGGACTTACAAATACTTATATTTAAATAAAATATATATTATATTATACACGCCTTAAATAGGTATTTATGTTTTCCATATGTGGCAATGGATAGATAAATATAAGAGATTTTCAAATCACGATTTGCGTTCCGTGGACAATAGCGTATAGCGAGTGACTCGAAATTCCTTTCGTGAACCAATTGTGAAATGGTCACCTATAATAATAGTATTAAATGTAGATGCTGAGTGCTGGTGCCTTATTTAGAAAGATTTGGCCACGATAGATTTATTATTTGTTTGTGTATGGTATTTTAAATTAAAAAAAAAAATAAAAAAATAATATTATTCAAGAATGACCAATACAACTACCCATTTAAATTGCTAAATCACATTGCCAAAATTAAACATTAATACCTGAAACTAACATTTAAGTAATAGCTATAGTTTAAAAGTAAATTATTGTCAACTTCGAGTTACGATATTAAAATAACTTTTTCTTAAACATCTATCTTACATAATAAATTTAACTTTTAAATTAATTTTATTATATTACAGACTCAATAAATCAAAATTTGTTGAATAAGAGCCAAAATGCAAATGAAACATCATTGTCAACTGCCGAACGTTTCCGACGCCTAATACCTTACGTGACGTACTACGCGGTCGGTAATAACGACCAAAACGACGTGCCATATCAATATCAAAACTCTAATTCAAATTTAAACACACCCAGACCTTTGCAAAAAAATAACTTTTATTTTCAAAATGAAAGAAAACCGCAACAAACACAACAACAGCTCGGCACCCAGCACCAGTATAATCAAGTATCAAATCAACAGGTCCATCAACAACATATTACGTCAGCAGGATATCTGAGATTTCCTAGCTCTCCAAAAACTAAAAGGCCTATTGTTATAGCAACAACGACTGAAATGCCATACATCATCCACCAGACAGAAACCTCATATAATTATTATTATGATTATAGTCAAACGAGCCCTAAACCAATTGTTATGAAACATGGCAATTATCCTGAATTTTTACCGACAATACCACCAGTTTCAAATTCGTTTTTAGAACAAGAACCTCTGCAGTTTACGACAAAAGCAAAAAAACAAAGAAGGCCCAAGCCGAAAAGACCAACAACACCCGTTACTACAACCACGACAACAGACAAATACGGTGCACTCAACGAATTGTTAAACGGTTATGATTTAGGAAATCGTCTTTCAAATAAAATCACGGCCGAGAACATCGGTTCCAATATACAGACTCTGTCAGCTGTTTTACAATTATTGCAAAACGAGGCTGACGAACAACAGGCGCGACCACTGCAACCGAAAAAACCTAAGCCAGAGTCACATCCAGATTCAATCGACGAATATGATACTGGTGACGTAGGAAATCCAGGAAGACCGGGCGTGGATTATCCGACGCTCTCAGTTATACCCAAGACTAGCTTCGATTGTAAAACGCAAAGATACAAAGGGTTCTTCGGAGATCCTGAAACGCTGTGCCAAGTATTTAACGTTATTTACATCATACATTTTTTGTTTTACATGGGATCACATAAATATTACTACATTGGATATACTTTTACGCATAAGGTTATAGGTTATCTTTATCAAATAAATGTATATTATGCACAACATAGGTACAACAACGCTTGTATATTTTTGAACATTTCAAACTTGATAACAAACAAAAAATTTAATAATGAAAATCCTTCCGGTTTGACTACAGAGCTTTAAAAAAAATATGGGTGGATGGATGGGCGATTGATGAAATATAATATATTATTATTTCTATACATAATATGATGAAAGCTCGAATACCAATAAGAATTTTCGGTGATGTAAACAAAATCTTAAATACATTTTTGCAATTTTCAATTCTTAGATTCGTATTGTTTTTATGAAAAATATTCAAAAGGACTTTTTTTTAAACTTTTAACTCGTAGATACTTGATTTAAATAATAAAGGATTAGATAAAATATTTATTTTGAGCGTAAAAAAAGTATACCTACTAATTGTTTAGTAATATATCTCAGTATTAATTCAAAAATTGTGTAACCACATAATATTTATTATATTTTTAAAAATTACAAATCATAGTTTCATTTTTTTTTTTTTAGGTATGGCATTACTGTGACTTAAACGGTGGTCAAGCATCATTTTTATGCCCAAATGGAACTATATTCAATCAAGTTTCACTGACATGTGATTGGTGGTTTAATGTAAAATGTGATACTACTGCTCAACTCTATGTACTCAATGAACGTTTGTACAAATATATAATACCATCTAAACCAAGTTTTCCAGAAGATTATGAAGGACCATTGGTAGATAGATATTTAGAAGACAAATTTAAGGAAACTGAAAAAAAGAAAGGTCAACAAAAATCTCCAATATCACCAGCAATAAATTTCACTACTGTTGAACCAGAAGTGGTTAGAACACCATATCAACAATTACTTGATGTAGATGTATAAATTTCAGAAGGAACTACTATGGTCTATAAACATAATTTGTTAGAAAAATGTATAACAAATAATAGAAATAGAATTAATAATAGGAAGGTGTAAATAGAATAATAATTTCTTTAAACAAAATATAAAACTGACTTGGTTTTTAGAACTAGTGGGCCTAACAAAGTGCCATTTTTAATGTAATGCCACCACTATATTTTAAGGGATATTTTATTTATTAATAAACAGTATGATATTAAGTTTTAAAGAGCTCAAATTAAAATAGTGTTAATAATTAAAAATAATTAAGTTATATGATTTTTTTTTTTTTTTATAAAAAATAAAAATCAATTTAAACATATTACGTAAATGCAGATAATTTTTGTTTCATAATTGGTTAATTATGTAATCAAGATATTTCAATTCAGTTTTTTTTTTTTTTTTTTTTAATTAAAAATTAAATCACATTTCTAATTATCTATTAAAAAATAATTAAATAATTAATTTTATTTGCCTTTAATATACTGAATACATATTAATATTAAAAGCTTTATTTGTGCCAAAACAAATTTTACCATATAGAATTTGTTAGTATAATTGATATAAAAATCTATAATTTATAAAATATAAAATAAAATTTTACTTAAAAACATGTGCAATAATAGATTATAATTATAATTAAGATGTAAATATGATCATTAATTATTTATTATGTAAACAATCCTATTATTTATTGTTAAAATATGAGGTTTATTTTTTATTGCTTACTTTTAAGACATCTTTATTTAATAAACCAAAGTTTAAAATTATAGTTGTATTTTGTAGTTTTAATAATCATGAATTTAATTTTTTTAAATAAACGTTCTCTGTTTGGAACATTAAATTTGACATAATTTTTTATTGAATATACAGTAAGTCCTCGTTTAACATCAAGGTTAGGTTTCTGGAAAACGCAACATTAACCGAAAAAACGTTAAGTGAAACACTTTTTAAATTACATACTTTTATATGGAATTTATATAAATATAACAATAACTTGATGAATACATGTATTACAAACGACATTATACTGAAACCGTTGCAGTGTTAAATGAAACATAAAGACTTAAACTTCTACGGAGCAATAGAGAAACAATGCTAAATGAGGCGACATTAAACGAGGACTTACTGTATATTATTATTAAAAATATATACTTTACATAATTTTTTTTATCATGAATGTGTATTATTGAAGTAAGTATAAGCCTTAAACTAATACATGGAACAAAGTAGTTTCCTGGTGGCTAATGATGACTATATTCAATATTTTGTTCCATACTCTTGCAAAGATGCAATGAAAAAATTAGGTAGTGCACAGAGTGTAAATAATAGATTTATTAATAATTGTATTATCAATATACCTTTCACACAAATCAACATTATTGCATACCAGTAACATCAAACCACAAGACACCTAGATGCTTCATCTATTAGTATAAGCCAAAAGGTTAATGAAAAGTAAAATCCAATAATTATCTGATAAAATTTTTGAAAATAAAAATAAACTTTATGTATCATATATGATTAATTACCTTAATGATTACTAATTATATAAGATATTTTATTTTAAATACTTGTTTGTTTTATTAATTGGGCTCATAATGCATAATTGTAATTTGTAATTTAAAACTGAATAGTAATACAGATATTTAAAAAAATAAATAAGCTTGGTAGTCAAAATGCTAAAAACATTATGGCACTTAGTTAATATATCATTATTTAATCAAGTAAAAAGTGTTTTACAGATACATTAATTAATTTTTAAGTATATTCTAGGTGACTTCATTCTGAATATTAGGTATTGCTATACTTAAACTATTTTTAGAAAACCATAACAGTTAATTACTTCTAGACCCACCACACTAAATTTTGGATCCTATATTAAATAATTGTGCTAGTCTAACATGAAACTTTTAAAATTTATCATTACTTATTAAGTTACGAATAATAAGCATTTTAAGTAAAATAATCTATTCTAAACTTAATTTGTTGTACAAATTATTAAATAATATTATAGATTTCCCAAAATTAATTAAATGACTAAATTTTTCAAGCTTGGTTCTAAGTTAGTTTTGAACTAACTCTCTTTACACTAAATTTAAAACTCTACTTTAATACTGAACATTTCAACTCATTATACATTATTCTCTATATAATATTTTAATACCTTTAGCAAAGTCTATAAATGGAGATAAATTTTTTTCATTTTTAATTTAAAGATTTGTCTATTCACCAACTTTAATCTATTATATCATATTATTATGCTATACATATTATATATTTTTGTACATGCATCTTATTCTATATTATTTTAAATAATGATTTAAATTTCTTATATATTTAATAAGTTAATAGGACACATTTTTTTCTGTAATAAACAATATTAAATACATTATATTATTCAAAAAATTTATCGACACTAATAAAAAATAAATAAATAAATAAATATGTTTGTATACCTAAAATTTACATAACCTAACTAAATTAATTAACTATAGGTATATGATAAAATTAAATTTTTATTACTTTTATAACATTCAATTTTTTCTTATTTTATCAATTTGATGAGTAAAGTTATTTACCACTAACAAATTGTGATATTTTTTTAGATTTAATTCTCAACCTACCATTATAATAAATACTTTTAAATAATTATCCAACTACTAACTATAGCACTAATAGTAAAAATGAACTAAAATCATCAGTGTTGGCATTCTATTCTCAATTTATGAAGAAATGTTATAAGCATTGAACTTAATGTTATCAATGTCAATATTACTGTTGAATCGGTTTTTATTAATATTATTGTTACTTATTACTTATTAGTGAATTGGGAATAATGTCAAAATTTAATAAAATCGATATATTTATCAACAAATTTAGAAGTCAGAAAAATGGGATCTTGACAAATTGAGATTTGAAAAAATAAACTTTAAAAATAGAAACAACCTGTTAAAAGTTATATGGGTGTCTAATACATAATTTTTAGGTAAATTAATGATTGACCTGCAGATTAAAATAATAAATTATATACTATAAAATAAGCATATGAAAATGCTTTCCCCCCCCCCCCCCCCCGCAGAAAGTTTTAGACTTACTACATCAACTAATAATAAAATAAAGTATATATTATGATAGAGGATTGAATATGATATGTAAAAACTTGTTTAACTACCTTTTCTTAAGTCAATTAGTCAATTATATGAACCAATAATAATCTGACCTACCGTATTATACCTATTGTTTGACAACGTAATCGATTACCGTGCTTTATTATTAGTATATATATATTGCATATACCTAGATCTAATGTTTAAAATGTAGGTACTATTGACCTTACTCATTAGGTCACTTCTTATGCAAACAAAAACTAGAATTTTGTATACAATTTAGATTTATTTTTACTCCTTTCATTATTTGCTCTTATCTTATTGTAACTTCTTGAAAATTTACGACACCCCCTTTCCAAGATAGATTTGCAATAAACACTGCTCTTCACTAAAAGAGTTTATGATATTGTTGATTTATATTATTACAATAATCATACTCTATAGTTATCTTATAAATCTAATATTTAATAATTATAGTAAAAGGCCATTACTTACATCTCTATAATGTTTCAACTTTTTAAGTAAAATGTCTCCTTTCAATAAATATTCATTTAAGCTTTGTATTTGGCTCATATTCTAAAAAAAAAAAAATCTTTTTAGAAATATTCATAATTCTCTTACATTTTAGTTTAACATCAAGTTTATTAAAATTTAAATTAAATAGTTTTATCATAATACATATATAGTTAAGTGTATTTATAATATAAATAGTTTATAAACATAAATGTTTTAAATGTTAAATAAAAATATTATTTATTTGAAATTAATTTTACATTTATTTAACTATGTATTAAATTTTCAAACATTTATTCCAAATAATTTTAAATCGATATTTATAAAAAAAAAAACCTAAAAAAATTGAAAATTTCTTCTATTATAAATAACTCAATAATAGTCTAAATATGTTGATAATTAATCCTATATATATATATATAAAAAAAACAACAATAATATAAATATATAGTGAAAATTCAAAGCATTTAAAGTTATTCATTTTTGAGTTAAATCAAAATAATAAAACCAATTTTGTTAAAAATTGCATTAGTGTAAAATGTTGTGTTTTTCTTAATTTTATGACAAGTTTTATTATTGAAAGAAGTAAATAGTTTTTAAATTTGACCTCTCTTAGGTAACAAATAGATCTAACATGATACCCAAAACCATTCCAATTTTTAACAGTAGAATCATTTTACCATATAGCTATGTAGAATTAACTTATTATTTAATATTTATCAAATAATCCTAAACTTTTTAATTATTTATTAATAATATAACATACTGAATACTAGACAAATAGTAAACAAATTTCATATTTTTACCTTGTTGTAGTATGTTATATCTAGTTATATGCAATTATACTTTGCAAATCTATAAGTAAACGAAGATAACTTAATTTTACACATGATAAACAAGAAACACTTATTTTATAAATATTTTGGGGAATTTTTGACATAAATCAAAAAATGTTGTTCCATTTAATTTTTTATGTTTCACTTTGCACATTTCTGTTTTTATTTTTTATACAATGAATTTGTCATGTTTTTAAAATTAGTATTTATAAATTATTGTACAAGAATTGTAAAATAAAATTTGAAATAAATAAATATTCATGATCCTTACATATTTTTTTAAATCTTGAACATCATGATGTCGGTGATTATCAATAGCACAAATTGAACACATTTGTCTATCACATGTAATACAAATAAAATCAATTAATTTCAAATGAAGATCACATTTCGATGCTTGGAGAAATTTGAGGTGTGTGGTATCTAATTTTTTTAAATCATGTTGTAACATTATTTGATTTTCAAAATGAATCTGTAAAATTGATTAACATTATAGTAATATATTCCAGTTAAAGTTATAAATAATTACCTCTTGACAACAATCTTTACAATATACCTCATTGCATTGTTGACAAAAGAAATCTGCATATTTTTGACAAGTTTGACAATTTTCTATAATGATCATTGTAAAATAAATGTAATATATAAATGAAAAATTCAAATTAATAATAATTAACCTTCAATTTTGTTTAAAGACTCTGAGGGTAAATCTGTCATTCTTAGATTAGAAATATCTTGATGTATTTTAAGCTTTCTGTTATGTGATAAATGCCATACTTTACCAACTAAAAAATAGTGTATTGGTATGTTCGTCAATTCATCATCACATTTAATCCTGTAAATTACAACACCGTAAGTTCACAATTATCAATGATCCTCCACAGAACCATGTCATATTAAGAAATACAATTATATACATGCACAATAACAATACTACACATGAAAATATATAAATTATGATAATATTATAATTTAATGTTAACAAAACATGCTAAAAATATTTTGTGTTAATTTTTGGCCTACTTCAGATTATTTGCGATTGCTGCACTATCCAATTCCACAGATAATCAAAAATTTACAAAAGATAAATTATAAAAATTAAAAAAATGTATCTAAATTATAACCTATTATGAAATAATAAGGCATTGAATTAAATTAAAAATGTTTCATACGTGCTATCAGTTTTACAAATTTCACAAATAACTTGTTTCTTCTTCCTGAACATGAACTTAATACAACTTCTACACATGTCATGTCCACAAGCTAACAACATCGGAACCTTTGATCCATTTACATCTATAATAAATAACAATATAACTATTATATTTTATAATTTTTGTACAACTTCAACTATAATATATTTTTCTAACCAATAAATTAATTAAATATATCATACAACATTATAATAAAATCCAAAATTAATTCAACAGAAATAACTTTTAAATCATCAACATTAAAACAAGTCTGGAAAAGATATGGACCCAAATACTTAATGTGAAGTAATTATTTTGCTTTAAGAACCTCTTCATGATAATATAATGGTACCTATATATTTATAACATGCATAAAAGCTATAGTAAATCATAAAATTATAAAAATGATTTTTAGCAACTACACCTGACCTCAGACGTCAAAACCATACTATTGTTATGAAATTTTCTAAGTATACTTAAACAATACTCTAATAATAGATGTTAATTAAGTATCTCTAATCATCACCTGACTGGAAAAAACTAAAAATAAGCATTTTTATAGTTATAACAACTGTAATTATGCAGTCATTAAATTGTAAATAAAAGAATTGGCCTAAGTAATGTTGAATAAATGATAACGAAATGAGATGATTGGATAAAAAGACTTAATATAAATATTTTGTCAAATCAACTTAAAACATTTCAAATTTTACCAACCAACAGAAATATTTATTTTTATAGTTTAAATTCGGAAAAAAATCAACATTTTACTTACAAAAAATACTTGATAATAGTTCTAAATGGTTGAAAATAAATAATAAAATACATGTACACATTAAACAACCTATGTTGAAAACTACTTCTTAAGTCTATAGATATAATAAGAATGCACATAAAATTATAACATAACTACTGGGTAATAACTAATAAATAACAAGTAACTAATATCATAATTCTATGCACATACTTATCAAACTTTAAATTATAATAAATAATTTTTATATTATAATTACCTCCAATATGGTAATTTGTATGACATCGAGAACAAAAAGGAATCTTATTAGTACGATTCATGGTGTTAAATGTATACAATAGCCGTGGCCAAACTAAAAATAAAACACATGAAATTGAAATCAAAATTTGAATTTTCAAATTTTAACGTATAACGATGATCACAAAATAAGTAATTACATTATTAATCTTCAAGAGTTTAAAAGTTATTAGTTAATATGCCATACTATTTTACAACAGTGGTCAGTGAGTAATAATATCCATACAAATCAGAAATCTGGAATCATCGAAAGCAAGCTAAAGTGCAAATTATAAGTTATAACTGAACACTGAACCGTTGTACCCATACAAATACAAACATTACAAACTATTAACAGTATTAACTATAAGCAATAATACACGGGAAAACGTACAAAAATAGAACGATTACTATTTACTACTTAACCATTGTTATTACTGGTTAATTGATAGGCTACTCTATCTAAATGATCAAACCAAGAATACCAAAAATATTATAAATTTTGTTTGAAAAGCATGTTCACCGTTTGGTGAGATACTGTTATCTCTATCTTATCGCTTTTCGATTGGACTGATCTATCCACTGACGTGTATATATTTTTTTGTTACCGATATTAGCGACGAATCTCTTGATGAGGTGCTCAATCTACGCATGCGCGAAGTTACTTGTCGCATATTTACCAGCTATCAGTTGTTAATTGTTATTCAGTTAAACAACCAATGTTTAGAATTTTGATATCAAAGTTGAAGTAACAACGTAAAACGTTTTGTTTATAAATTGTCTTTTAATTTTCATTATACATTATACAAATACAATTAATTAAACCACACAAATTGAACATTTATCACAACAAAAAATGTTCAAAAATACCACAATCAACTATAATAAATGTTAAATACCACAATCAACTATAATATATTAATATATTATAACACATAGTAAAAATAGTTAAACAGCAATTATTATAGAAAGTACTTTTAGTATAAAATATATACCAATATTTCGTCATGGGTTTCTTCAGTTATCAGATTATTGGACTTAAAATGTTTGAATAGAATCTCTAAAGAAGAAATTTTTTTTCGAAAACGCCTTATTGTTTCATTTAACACTTTAATATGTCTTCTTTGAAACATAACATGGCATTTGGCATTTAAAAACTGTTTTTTAACTCTTTTAGGAGTAGCCAGATCTGGAGATTTAATATCCCCAATAAAAGACTTTCTTTTATTTTTGTACTTAGGTGTATCAGACTTTTAAATCATGACTTTCATTTGAAATTTACACTGGTGTTGATAGTTCAGGCATTGGAATCGGGCTATGTTTACGTTTAAGACTTTCTTAAATTATGAAAAACAAAAATAGATATTTTCATGTGAGCAATTTAACTATGGACACTTAATCTATTAGGGTAATACAGTAGAAGAAATTGTTAGTATTTAATATTTATTTTAAAAATAAAATAATTTTGCATTAATTTATCAGTGTCTGATAATTCCATTGGAGTTGAAGTTAAATTCAAACATAATTCAGATGTAGAAGGATTTCCTGGTACATTATAGTTCCTAAATATAATAATTTTGTTTAAAATAATTACTATGAGTATTTTGAAGAAAACAAAATTTTGATGCAAGTATTATAACTGCATAATTGAAATACATAACTATTTTGCATACTTTTTCATATGTAGTGTAGGAATAATTGCTCCACGTTTAATACATTTTTTATGTTTTCCAGTAAAACAATGATGATCAAAATGAAATGAACACAGCTTTCGGTTAGGAAAAATGTCAGATTCATTATATTTAGGTACAAGCTTCCAACCGTTTGAACCTAATTACTGGATCTTTAGGAAATCTAAATATTTTTGAAAATATTTATTTTTTTAGAAATATTTAAATATGTTTATGCCACTATAAATAAATATTAATTAACTTACACACGAAGAGTTAATCCGGGATTTAATTTAACTGATTCTAAGCAAAATACACACGCATTATAGTTACTCATGATTAAAAAAGGAAGTTATTTATTCAATAAATAAATAAAAAACAATATGGGTAAAGAATAATTTGTTAAGTAAGTACTCAAGTGAAATTTAAGACATATTTTTTTTTCTACAAAGGTTCTAGATTCACTATTATGAATTATCATAGGATAATTATTATAAATTTTGCACGCGGTGTCTATGACATTATATTACAAATTACAATGAGGACCGCGGCCCGCGGGTTACTGAAATGCTGATTGCTGACCCATAGTTCATACATTATATTATACCTACCAAAACATACTACTTTTTATAATTCGTATCATATATTGAAGTGTATTTTGATGGTTATTATTTATTGTTATTATTCGTCTGTTCTCCAGAAATTAGGAAAAGATTTTCTAAATTCTAGACAGATGTTAGTTGGTGTCATCAAGCTAAAGCCTAAAAGTTGTAATTGTCTTAAATACATTTTATACCTACCTATTGAAATGGGTGATCTGATTTTATATTTATGCATTTATTATATTATCAATAATAGAATAATTTATAATGCTTATATACATAATACATAGGTATGGATACTGCGTAAATTAAAACACATTATATTATTAGAAATTCTACTACTGTCTACTATGTCAGTATGGCCAGTGGCCACATCATGGCACATGGGTATTAATCAGGGCCGGATTTACGCCTAGGCCTGTGAAGCTTTAGGCGTAAAAAATTGAAAAATTTTCTATTGTTTTATAAGAATTGTGTAAATATTGTAAGAAATGGAAAAAAAATCATATAAACATTTTATGGATTTATATAACTCCCTAAATTAATTTTGTATAATATTTAAGAAATATTAAAGTAAACTCATGAATTTGAGAAATAAATACATTTTTTTTCTTGGGATAGGGGCAGCATATTTTAAAGGGTCTAGGACGTCATATATTTTTAATCCGGCACTGTTATTAATATATATAATATGTACATATAATGTACAATTTATAACTGTAATTATTTTTGTATCTGGTACTTACCAACATTTTTTATCTCCACGAGTATGTTGGAAGCCATCAATTTTATTATATTTATAATATACTAATAAATACGTGTCTGCTTTTGTTAACTTTAATTTTTTTACTGTACTTACATTTAACTTTATAATATACCTACTATTCAGAGGGTCCATCAATGACTCATATAGTCATTACTTATTATAAACCATATTATCGAGGGGCCGAAATGTGTTGTAGGAGAGACCCGCAGCCTGAAATATCAGAATACTTTATTACGAGAAGTCATGAGATAAGCGTGATGGCATGGTTCAAAAGTGACGGCAATTGGAATTAATAAATACTATAGCATAACTAAAATTAATTTTTCTATTATCCCAATGGAATGTACTCATAACAATCAACTCATAAATGTTAAAGTTGAATAAAATCAATTTCATGTAGATTTTAGATAATATACTAAAATATCCGTACTACATATTATTATAATTAATAATTTATACATAATGCTATATACCATATCTGACTATATAAACTAATAGATTGATGAAAAGAATTGATTTTTAACATTATATGATAGTAATATACAGATAATCGACACTATTACTCCGTTGGACAATAGATTTAACCATTTCAAATATATATAGATTGCAATCCACTGACGTCTGAGATTGAATTATATAGGTCACTACTTTTAATAGATTCATATAATTATTAATGAGTAATGAGTTATTATACTCATATAGTGTATAATGTGCATTATTATTATTTTATTAAATAAATAAAATATTAATTAAAAATAATAATGATTATACTACTAGCACATTTCTTTCTTATCTAGATACATAAATAAAAATTATTGTTCGTTTGTATGGGACTTATAGATAAGAACTAATGGACCAATTGGCACCAAATTTTGCATACATATTCCTTGAGCCTTGTGGTATGTTTTTGCATCGTTTTAAATCCTAATAGATTAAATATATCGATGTTCTTCAACTATGCCTGGACAAAATTTATAATTTCAGTAAATAACTAAGTCTTTACCACGTTCACCAAAAACTATTTCCATAATATTTAAGAGCACTAGCCAAAAGTACAACTTCGTGTAAAACGCGTGGAATTATACTGAACAGATTTATATTATAAATGAAAAATATTTGTTTAAATTTTGTTTTATCTTCAAATAATAAAATAATGGTTTTAAAACGTACCTATGAACACAACGCCGTAGATTAGATTGCTACATTTTAGATAAAACTAGGGAATACAATACGTAAAAATAAATTAAATTTGTAGTTATTAAAATTTAACTCATCAAACATATCTATAAATTATTAACGTACCAAATGATTAACACTGCTTATCTACAAGTTAAAAAATCAATAGTAATAGACAATATTATACACATTAATATATATTTTTAGAAATCGATTGGTGTAATAATTAATTAGCAACAATAATGTATTACATCCAAATATTGATCAGCGCAATTGATGTACGATGTACTAATACCCTTTTTTATATCCCATATAATTTGTTTTCTTTTACTTTAGACTTTCGGCGCAATTGATAAATGGCCGATTAAATTCAAACATTCATTTCGTTTAAGCTAACGAAATCCGAATTTTTTTGTATATTGGCTATAGAAATACAATTGAAAATAATTGGTATAAACTAGCCGATCCGTCATGCATTTTTATGACGGGATTTTATTTAAAAAATCAAATGTTATTTAATCAATTGTTTATATATGCACGAGTATATCAAAAATCAAAATATCAAGAAAATATATATAGAGTATAAATAGTTTGAACTACGTTCGAAAATATACTAATTACTAAGTCCTATATTCAATCCGCTATAGGTAGTGGATGGTCAAATAAGTTTGCAAAGCGAAGTACATAGATACCAATTTAATAACTCATGTTATGAGTAATTAATTTGTATTTTTTTTTTTAACCGTATAAATAATACTTAGTTATGAATGTTGTAAGAAAAACCGATGAGGATTCTTGTATTAAAACTTTAAGGTTTTTAACTAATAAAAAAAAATTTTAACATAAATAAACCGAAAAAAACTTTGAAAATTTCATAAGTAACATAATATATTTAACACAAATAAAAGACCAAAGTATTTTTTAAATGTTATTAGATGCCTATGTCTATTAAAATGTTGTTATAAATAAAAAATACATTTGGTAGGTAAACAACTTCAATTATAGGCATTCTATTGTCTATAGATAGTTTAAATGCCTATTATTATGCTATTATGATAATTCAATTTTTAATTACAACAAAATAACAAAACCAATTTTGCCAAAAACTGATTTTTGTACACATTTTCATTTTCTTTACATTAATTTTGTATACCTTGGTTTTTATAATAATTTACTGTCTAAGATGTATTAGTTAACTGTTTAGATGTGGTTATTTTTTACTTAGCGTCTTATACTAATAAATTATCACATCATTAGTAATTTATTACATTATTTATTATTTTATAATTTATTACTAATACGTAAT